ATCGTCGACATCAGCGTAACCCAATGTGCACGTGGAGGTTGCCGTTCGGATTTTGCACATCGTGTGGCCCTGAAGAGGGCCAGTGGTGTATTAGAACATACTGGGATATGATGGGAAGAAGGCTGCGTGACTTGTAGGACCACACGATGTGCAAAATCCGAACGGCAACCTCCACGTGCACATTGCATGGGTTACGCTGATGTCGACGGTAATGAACGAAAATACAAGGGTTACTTCAAAATGCTGTAACTTGGTGAAAAAAAATCGCAGTAACTTCTCTTTTTTTTAAAATTGAAAGGAAAAGTACACACTTTTTGATACTTCGAGCAGAATTAGCGAGGAAAAATTTCCTACGCCCGGGCACCTGGCCAAAGTTGGTTATTTTTTAGGTAAAAACATGTCCTTACATTTTAAAAGCTACTCTCTAAAATTTGTGGAGTGAAAATACTGCCATGGAGTGAAATGTTTACTCCATTGGAGTTAATATTTACTCTGTTGGAGGAAATATTCACGCCAATAGGGTGAACATTTCACTCCATGGCAGTATTTTCACTCCATAAATTTTAGAGAGTACAGCAGCGCAGATGCATTCGAGGAAAAATCTGGTGACTAGTTTTTGAAGCTGAAAGTGCAAGCTTTAATTTAAAAAAAACAATCTTGCTACGATGATTTTTAACGGAGATATCGTCGGTAATGTCGAAAACACAAGGGTTATTTCAATGAGCTGTGATTTGGCGAAAAAAAATCGTAGGAACTTCTTTTTTTTTAAATTGAAGAGAAAAGTATACACTTTTTGATACGGTAAGCAGAACTGGCGAAGAAAAATTACTACACTCCGCACAGTGCGTCAAAGTGTGCAATTTTTTACAGAAAAAACATAATCATGATTTTGAGAAAGTTCCGGGAAATAGGAAGAGTGAATGCAAATTCCAATAAGAGCTTCTTAAAGTAGAGGCTTTGCCCTATAAAATGAAAAAAAAAACTTTTCAATTCGACCAGTTTTCGCGAAGTTACGCTTATTTGAAATTCGCCAAATTTTGATGTAAGTTTCTTGTTGCGTTAATTTTTTTGACCAGTGTATATTACCAAAATATTAAGGAAAATATGTTATTTTTGATGGAGTTAAATGAGCAGTTAATAATTTAATTAAAAAGTCGGTTAAAGTTTTATGAATAATTTATTTAGTACTGACTTACTTTTCATTTATACATAAAAATACAATTTGTTGTTAAATTTATTTTATTTTTAAATATAGTAAAAAATCAGTAACCGTTTACTGCACAGTTAATGAAATGCTCAGTGCCTAGATGAATGCTTTATATGATGCGAGATTGATTATATTTAAGTAAAATAAAGAGAATGTTTAGTTTAAAGATTTAGTTACATGCACTTTGTAATAAATGTAAAATAAACAGTTACTCGTCAGGCTCTTGTTGTAGTTTCGCTCCTTTTGCAGGTAAATTGATATCTGGATTTTCTTGACGTTTTCTCGCCTCAGATCGTTTCAATAATTCAACGAGAAACGAGGGGATAGTCTCATCTTTAATTTAACCGCATGATTGCATATGTGGAACCTGGTAGCAACGTTGATAATTTAAATGATTAAGAAAAGAAGAAGTTCCAATTAAACTACACGTCTCGTTCTCTACGTTAATTGGCAGTAATGCCTGTCATTGTTAAACTTCATAATATTTTAGAGTACGAAGTGACAGAAATTGGCTCATGGTGCCTTAGTTGGGGCTCGCTGGGTCTTCTCTTGTTGTCCCAGTCAGAAATTACTCGATCGTAGATCGATGTCGAAACGACGTCGATCGACGAATCATTTCTGACTCGGATTCGTACTCGGACATGAAAAAAGATTAAATGTGTCTAAATTCACATATTACATAAACTTTTGCCCGACAATTTGGATGTAAAAATCTTTTCATTAATTACTGATTACGTTGGCATAAATTTATCAATAGCATGTTGAACGTGATACTGCTAAATTGGAGTCGATGAAAGTAGTAGAACCTCGATTATATCTGGATTTCGGTTATTCGAATATTCGGCTAATAACTTAATAAGTTATAATTAAATTAATTAAATTAGTTGTTCTCTCCTTGTGGCACTTAATGTTTTCAATAAAGTTTTTGGTCATATGCTTGTAAAAGTCCATTTATTTTATATCATATAATATAGTTTGTGTTCGAGACGCGTCAAAGTGTAAACTATAGATGCTGAATTCACGGAAGTTCGAAATTATAAGGGTCTTAAGTCTTTTAAATAAGTATAATCACAATGACGTAACAACACTTAACTAATACAAAACGAATTTCAGATTAAGCAATACGAGTAACTACAGCCTTCAAACACGCGGGAAAAACGGAAGTGTCCGAGAGAGTTCACGCGCGAATAATAGGCGAGAGGGAAAACGGATTTTTCCTATCGAAAGCGAAACGAAAAGAAGGCGTCGGGACTCGTGGAGTCCCCGCTTTTATTGAGAAGGCGAACAGATCACCAATAATCTTTTGCCATTATGAAAATCCTGAGGTGACCCCAGGGCGCTTTGCGTGATCGGTAGTTATAATAGAAAAATGAATATCTAAAGAATTCTTGAAGAATTAGTCTCAATCAGTTCGTCTTGAAGTATTTTTCTGAAGTTCATTATAATGAATACTTCGCGATTCAGTACTGTGAATACTTTAAGAATTCATGAGGAATTATTTGTCATGCGCGAGTATCCGCTAACCGCCATCCGGACGTTCTTGTGCAGCGTGTTACCACGTGCAATATTTTGTGTGCGTAACGTTATGTGCATTTAATTTTGTGCAATAGTTCTATTGTGTAAAAGAAAGAATCGAACGACGAGAACCGAAACGGAAGAATCACCGATTGTCAACGAGCTTCGGTTGAGAGCATTGCACTGTTGAGTGAGAAGTTATAATAATGGTGTAATGTTACTGCATATTAGATGTGTACATACATTAGGATTAGGTAAATATTTTGTAATTCTCTTTGTTCTAACACTATTCCCCTTGAATTCATAAAGTTTACATTTATTGAATTCGAGATGAATACTTTAAGAAGTTGTCAGGAAAACGATTTATGGTGCATGTAACTTCCTCTGTCACTCTTATTGTATTCTTCTATGAATCCTAAAGAATTACAATTCAGAAAAAGGAAACTTAAAGAATACTTTGTGAATTCAGTGTGCTATCTGGGAACTGAATATAGTAGGTACAGACAAACGTGAAGAGGCATATGATGAAACGATTTCTAAATATTATTCGTAGCAGGTCACAAACAGAGGAGCGAGAGTTTCTTCCGGAATGTTGGTGTCGGTTTGAATAAGTCTTAATACGTTTCCAGCTCGCACTATACGTTAATCGATTATTTAAATTGAAAATTGTGTTATATTAAAACACGCACAATGCCTGCAGGTGACAATAAAAACCAACGTTAGCTGCACGCAAACAGGCAGGAATGCCTGAATATTTCTATAATGTATTCTATAATTATAAAAATATTCAGTCAAAATCATTCCTGTCCATTAACGTTTAGAAAAAGTTAACATTACAATTAATGTAATTTAAAAAATAATATATACATCTTTAAGATGTCTTTTAACAGGTGTATTGTCTGTCACAGCCCATACAGCAAGATAATAGAATCCAGATGCCTTTTAAACCTCTTATAACAGATATTTTTTATATTTATCTGGTAGCTATTTTTTTTCATTACTCAAAAGATATATTAAGGAGATCTTTCTGACAGAAGTGCTGTTTGGGAGAGGAGTTTATTAATTTATTTGGTCATAGTATTGGTTTGACTTGTCTACCTGAGTTGTTTTACTGGACAGATAGTAATCAACGCGCGCGCTGGCCGGTAAAAATTTTTTTCATGTATGAACATGGATAAATATATAGATATGTATAAAATATACATCTAATATGTCCATATTATTTTTATATTGTAATATTTTTTTTAATTTGATACAATTCTACACAATTCTGAATACTTTTATAGATTTACACATACTTTTATATGAAACTTTTTTAAAGGTGAAAAATTGTTTATTTGTATTTAATTACATATAATTGTGTACAATTGTACAAAGTTGTATATAATAATAAATGAGCAATTTCTTTTTTTTTAATTCTTCGTACAAAAGCATGTATAATATATGTAAAATCGTATATAATAAATCTATAAAATGATATCGAACTGTATAGAACTGTATAAAATTATATAGAAATATACAACGTAGAAATGTGTGCAGTCATTTCATGTATAATTTGTATATTTGTGCATGCTCATGCATGAACAATTTTTTGCTGGGGGAAATAGGCAGGTGTCGTTTTATATGTATACGAGGGTAAGTCAAAAATTATCTGCACTTTTCGTTCTACAATTTATTTACACAAAAATAGGGGTTCAATGTGTACACCATTTTTCAACATAGTCTCCTCCCTTGGCAATGCACTTGGTCTAGTCGTCCACAAGCTTGCGTATTCCTTCCGAGAAGAAGATTTTCGGTTGGTCGCAAAGCCACTTTTGCACCGCTTCCTGCAGCTCAGATCTTGCTCCCTCCGACTTTCATCTGTTTGGGCCGCTCAAGGATGCTTTGCGAGGTCGCTAATTTTCTACAGACGTAGACGTGCAGGAAGCGGTGCAAAAGTGGCTTTGCGACCAATCGAAAACCTTGGCAATGCACTTGGTCCAGCGGTCCACAAGCTTGCGTATCCCTTCCAAGAAGAAGATTTTCGAT